TTCTAGTCTCACTAAGAAGAAAGTAGGAAGTGGCTTAGGTTAAATAAATAAACAGAAATAACTCTTTTGAAGTTACTTAGACATTAAATGGCATTTGAAAACTAATGAGAAAACTTTCAAGGAAGAAAAAGGCAAAAGCTAGTTTATACCCGAAGAGGAATTTATTCTGTTGAGTTGACAGTATGTTGGCAGACATCTCAAAACGTGGAAGTGATGTCTGGGTTTCTGGTTTTGAAAGGTTCAAAATCCTGTCCACACAGGCAGGGTTTTCCCATGTGCAGTGGTACAAGTTGGTCTGGTAGTACTTTCTTGTTTTTGATAACAAAGTGGTGATAACATCTCACTTGAACACAAGCTTAACTCATCATCAAGAATGCTACCTAAGTTTGACTTTTAACTGGGTCCTTGTGAGGTGGGTCAGGCCAATTGATATTACTATCCTCATTTCAGAGACTGAGAGGAAATGAAGGCCTGAAGATACCTGGCCCAGTACTGGGAGCTGGCATGGCAGCCAGGGCTCTGCTTACAAGAGAGTGCTCAAAGTGCCAGCTAGTTGGCACTTTAACCCCAATAGTCTCAGAGATGCTGTTTTTGTGCTTGCATGCATAGCCTTGATCTCAGCAAGGTGAAGTTGTGATTCTGTCTAAGACTATATTGTTGCTAACCCAAGGCAAGGACATGGGTCAGTGCATCTGTTGAGAACTCTTTTGATTATTCTATTCTATTTACTTACGAATTTTAAAATTAAGAAATTGTGTGACTTTGGAATCCTGTAGACTTGGGATCTGCTAATTACTCAAGAAGTGGTTTGCAAGATCTATAAAATGAGGTCTCTGTGACAATAACATATGTTTAGCAATGCAAACCATTTAGCATCATGCTTGAGTACCGCATGTCCTAAGCATGGCATGTCTTGTCAGTTCCGTCTTCAAAACACTGTATCTAGAATTCAACCACTTTTACCGCCTCCCACCTCAAAAGCATCGTTGTTCCTCACTTGTAGTGACAGCTCCTATCTAAACTATGTTCCCACCTATTCCTTTCCTTCATTTATTGTCAACGTAGAGGCCAGAGTGAATCCCTAAAAATTTGAGTTGAATTATGAAGAAACTCAAAGCCCTCCAGAGGCTTCCCATCCCACCCAAGTCCAAAGTCTTCACTGTTGCCTGCAGAGCCCTAAATGATCTGTCCCTTAGCTATCTCTGCCATATCTTCTCTTCCCATCCCATCTTTCTCTGTTCCAAATGCTCTGACTTTGCCATTCGTCAAGCTGAGCAAGTTCCTGCCTCAGCCTATCTGCACTTAATGTTCTTTCTTCTTGAGAAAAGTTTTCTTCAGATTTACTACTTTGTTCCCTCCCCCACTTCCTTTGGGTTTCTGCTTGGATATTACATTACCCATCACCTTCCCAACCTTTTATATTTCAATGTATTTTATATATATATATATATAAATTTCATATTAATTTAGTCAATAGGTGTTCTGTATGTATATATGTGTGTGTGTGTGTGTGTATATATATGTGTATATATATATATATATATATATATATATATAATTTTTTTTACTTGTTTGGGAGAGACACAGACACTCAGTCCATAGCAGGCATTAAAAAAATGATTTGAGAAAGGAACAGAAGGAGGGAGGGAGACAGAGAGAACCATTGATGTGAGAAAGAAACATGTATTGGCTGCCTCCCACATGTGCCTTGGCTGTGGATCAAACCCACAACCCAGGTATGTTCCCTGACTGGGAATCAAACCCTAAACCTTTTGGTGCGTGGATGATTCTGTAACCAATGGAGCCACCTGGCCAGGGCTGTTCTGTCAATGTTTAAAATGGATAGTAAATTGTAATGGAAAGAATAGGTAACATTTATTGAAGTCTTGCTATGTGCTGTGAATTTTGCTTTCCTTTGCAGGTGGTCATCTATCTCCTCAGTGTATTCTGTCACCTGCAATAGATCTTAGCTCAGATGATGCCTCCAACAAGAAACCTTTTATTAGTCAAGCTAGAAGTGATTCTTCAATCCTCTGTATTCCCCCAGTAATCTATTTGTACCATTCACTTTCCCCTTGTGTTTGTAGAGTTTTTAATAAATATCTCCTCTGGCCCTGACTGGTGTGGTTCAGTGGCTTGGGCATGGTCCCGCAAACCAAAAGGCCACTAGTTTGATTCCTGGTCAGGGCACATGGCTGGGTTCTTGGCCAGGCCCCCCACACACATCAATGTTTCCCTCCCACTCTTTCTCCCTCCCTTTCCCTCTCTCCAAAAGTAAATAAATAAAATCTTTAAAAATATGTATCTTCTCTTAAATATACCAAGACATTTGATGACAGAGACCATATCCAATACAACTTTATATAATGTACAGTTTGTAGGGCAACCTCACATTTTATAACCCACTTCAGATGCTCAGAAAAAGTTATATATGCTCTTTCGAGTTGTATAAATGAACTCACATGAATAGATCATTGTGATTTAGGATCATAGATTTCAGAACCTGAAATCTCAGAGATAGTAACTGAAAGATAGTACATTCAAGACAAAATTAGGTAAAGAGAAAAATGAAAATATTAAGGTACAAAAGTCAACCAAATACATCATTATGAGACTATATGAGTATAACTTTGAATTGTGTAGAGTTATCCCTAGGGACCCATGGGTCCATCTGATATAAATATTATAAACTTAAATATTTATGAAGAGTCCTGGGAGAAACAGTAGTCATTTCTTCTAAATTCTCTATAGTTAATCCTACATTTCTTTACTTATCTTCTCCATAATTTGATTACCATGTCCTAGAAAAACTAGTAGCAAAATATTTTTCCTAGTTATGTTATTTTCCAAAATACATTATAGAGAAGAACACTTTTCGGCACTGTAGTTTCCTTTCAGGCTATCAGAGCAGCTCTATATTCAGGTAATTTTCTGTGGTCGAAAAAGCCTTGGACACTCAGCTGAGTCCTCAGGAAGACCTTCCCTGCATACACAATGTAAAAAATAAACAAACAAAAAAATAAAAACCTCCCAAACGCTTCCTTTTGGGTTGCTAGTTTTCTTTTTTTTAATTTTTATTTTATTTATTTTTAGAGAGGGAAGGGAGGGAGAAAGAGAGAGAGAGAAACATCACTGTGCGGTTGCTGGGAGTCATGGCCTTCAACCCAGGCATGTACCCTGGCTGGGAATCGAACCTGCGACACTTTGGTTCGAAGCCCACGCTCAATCAATTCAGCTACACCAGCCAGGGGGTTGCTAGGTTTAGCAAATAAAAATACAAACTACTAAGTTAAATTTGAATTTTAGATAGACAACAAACAGCACTTTAGAATGTCTCATGCAATGTTTGGGACATACATATGCTAACAAATTATTCATTACTTATTTGAAATTCAAATTTAATTGGATGTCCTGAAATTTATCTGGCAACCCTACCTCCATAGACACTGTCGTGGTAGCCTGTTTTACTGTCTCCATGGTACTTTTCACTATCAGAAATTGTGTCTGTTCTGACTCTCCCCCTGGAATAGGAGCTCCGTGAGGGTAGGGCCCTCTTTCCCTTGTTCAACAGCTGCATCCCCATAGCCTATTGGTAGTGCCTGCATAGTAGGCACTCTCAATAAATATTTAAGTATTTGTTATTTAAAGGTAAGAAACATAGAAAAATTAAAGGCTTAGAGAGTTTGGTAACACGTCGATGGCATACTGCTAGCTAAACGACATTTGAATCAGCGCGGTGCGAAAAAGCTCGGGGACCTCTTCCATGTTTTCCACCTTTAGGGGTGCAGAGGGCAGTGGAAGAGGGTAGAGGATCTCTTAGAATTAGAAGACCCTGGGATGAGTAGATCTGGGGAGAAGCAACGTCTGAACGAACTAAAAAGCCTTTTCCATTTGCCTTGGCAATGAAGCAAATGAAGTAAACCACAGGAAAATGCAAATGAGTGAAAAGAGCAAGATTCTCTGCCTTTCGAATGGGGTCAGAGGCAGTGTGCATCCTCCACCTCATCGTCCACTGTAAACTCCTGCAATTTGAAGGCTGGCCTTGTAGTCAGACTTCGGAAATCTCTAGACCCTGATTGTAAGAGAAACTACCAGTGCATATATAAATAAAGAGAGGGGAGGCGTGGATTGAGATGAAGTCAATACCGAACTCTGGTTTTGGACCCAGGGCGCGTAACGGGGCGGGGGCAGCGGTGTTTAGTCCCAGAACTGAATCGGGTTCATTTCTCCACGAGGACGTTCGGCGTCCCACAGGACCCACTACCGAAGGCGCGTGATCTCCACTCCAGCTCACTTCATCAGACCAAGACGATCGCTGGCGGGCGTGTCTAGTGGCGGCCCAGAGCGGGCTGCCTGGGGAACTGTGGCCGGATTCTAGGAAGCAAGCTGGCTCCGATCCCTACCCAGCTCCACCCGGCTCTGGTCCGCCTGTCCTCCCACCTAGGAGCTGGAGGATGGTCCAGGGGAGCTTCTGTGGGGCTGCTGGTCCGGGGCGTCTTCAGCTCGACCTTCCCAGTTGTGTGAGTCGCGAGTGGGTCCAGTTTAGAGGCAGCCTTCCCAGCCGCTGACAGGTGCTGCCCGCAGGGCGCCGTGTGCGGTCCCTGGTGCCGCTAGACTCGCACGCCCGGGTGAGCGTAGCTTCTGAGCTCGGAACCAGCAAGGAGAGGGAGGCAGGGCGCGGCCTGGGGGACTCCAGTGGACTGGAGCCCTGGAGGTCGAAGCTAGAAACTTTGCAGGCTCGGCTGCAGGGATTCAGCGCCAGCGCCGGCCCACCCCAGCAGGTGCGGGAAGAAGAGGCGGCGCCCGAGTCCCGCCGCCGGAGAACCGCGGCAGGAGCGTCTGTCCCCAGGGCTGGCCTGAAGCCGCCGGGCACTGCCTGCTTCTGCTGCTGCGCCCCCCGCCGCCGCCGCCGCCGCCACCGCGGGGCTCCGGGAGGGGGCGCAGCCAGGGAGGGTGGTGGGGGAGGAGGGGGAGAGAAGAGGAGGAGCAGGGGGTGGAGGATGGAGCCCCGGGCAGCAGCGGAGGGCTCACCGGAGCCGGCAGCGTCCTCCTCTTTCCAGGCCCGGCTCTGGAAGAACTTGCAGCTGGGGGTGGTCAAGAGTAAGGGCAGTGGCAGCAGCGGGCGTGCAGGGGGCCAGGAGCGACGCCCCGCGGCCACCCCGTCGCCCTCTCCGCCTCCCCCAGGTGGCAGGCGGGAAGCACTCGCCGGCGTCGGGGGCACGGGCAGTAGGTGGATTGGCTTCAAGAAACGGAAGCAAGTGTTGGACCGCGTCTTCTCCTCCTCCCAGCCCAACCTGTGCTGCTCCTCGACCGAGGCTCTTGAGCCGGGCGGTCCCGGCAAAGCCGAGCAGGGTTCTACGCTGCGCCGCCGGATTCGTGAGCATTTGCTCCCCGCGGGAAAGGGGTCCGCTGCGGCTGCTGGAGCAGGCGGAGGGACGCCTCCTGGCGGACGCTCCCCAGACTCAGCTCCCTCTTCGTCCTCCGCTTCGTCTTCCCTGTCCTCATCTCCCCAGCCGCCCCCGAGGGGCGATCGTGCCCGAGATGAGGGTGCACGGCGTCGGGGGACCGCGGCACTCTTATGCCATCAGAAGAGTTCCTCCTTGCCGGGCACCACTAACCTGGAGCAGCTTCTGGAGCCGCCTCCGCCTCCCGCAGAGCCAGCGCAGAGCCCCGCGAAGCGAATGCCGGAGAAGGGCGTGGAGGGCGGCAGTAGCCAGGTGAGTAGCGGTGCCGGGGGCCACGTCTCCAGCTTTGGGCAAACTAGAAGTGGTGGGTGGGTAAGGGGCGCGGGCGCAAGCCGGGTGCAGGTGCTACCAAGTAAATCAAACAGTGGAAAGAAAAAGACATCCAGCTCATGCTTAGTAAAGATAAGACTTGTACCCTGACTTGACTTTTGACATAAGTAGCTTTATGAGTTGCCAATGAAAGTGGAAGTATTAATGGTAGCCATAGAGGACAGGAATGAAGTTAGATATAATTTAGGATAGTTTTTGGAGGTGACCTGGGACTCTCCACTATGCTTCAACCTTGTCCAAAAAACAAAAACAAAAAAAACCCCCCCAAAACAAAAAACAACCCAACAACGTAAAAAGACTACAACCCTGTATGATGGTGATGTGGAGAGGCTAGCATTTGAAACAAATGGTTTGCAGGGAGGAATAGAAATGCTGAGAGGTGACTTAGTGGTAAACCTGAGGTAATCGCTCGGAGAAAAGCCTTAAAGCAGAAGTCTGCGGATTTACCCACACAACCTTGTTAAAACTTCCTGCAGCAGGGGGATCACCGCTCAACAGGCGGGCAGCTTGAATGTCTCATCAGAGTTAGTCAAATGTGTTCCTATGGCCTTTTCTAAGATTTAATAGTCATCCGAAGCGTTTGCGTTTCAAGTATGCTGCTTTTTACATGATGTTGCCTCTGATCGCACAAGTTTGGTCAGACAAGAATCAGGTAAAAATGTACAAGTAAGGTCCCTAAGGCGTTCCACTGAACGGCTGCTTTTACTCCCTGGATTTTGTAGAGGGGAGGCTGTCCTCTTGTAAATGTTTATCAGCTCCAGTTAGTGTTAGCAAATGTTCTGAACGTTCCATTCTGCCAGGAACCTACAGAACTCTTTCCTTTCAATATATCTTAGCTTACTTAAACTCATTATTTTGACTCTGAATTATTTTTAGATTAATGACATATACATTCAAACTTTATTTAGATTAGAGCTGCAATGAACATAGGCCACGTTTTGAAAGATATGAGAATAGATGTGTCTTCAGTTGAAAGTTTTTTATTGCTTATCAGTATAGTTTCAGAAAATAAAGTGGAATATGAGTGTTTTATTGTTTAATAAACACATTTGATTGCAGCAACCTGATGTTACTGATGTTGCTGATGTTCGAGGAACCACCTGATGTTCTGTTTTAGTTATTCTCAGAAGAGTAGGTAGAGATATTATCGACAGGAAGGCTAAATAAACCTACCTTTCCCTTCACCTTGCAAGAGAATTTAATAGACTGTTTCTGGTTCCAAAAGTAAAGTAAAAAGTCATTTTAAAAGGATGTTTTAAATTCAGTATAGATGAGTACTATGTATTTAACATGTATTTATTTTAGAGTGCATATATAATCCTAATTATAAGAATTTTAGAGTGGGGTACTGTTTACATGTGTTTTTATGGACTTTTGCAATCAAGAATAATAAAATAAATAATAATTGAATTATTTTGGATGGTAGATATATTACTGCAAATGTTAACTTACTAAATTACTTTGCAGTTCACTGAAGCAAAACATTTTCAAAGCAAAAGCAGAGAATTCTGAATTGATCTTTATGTTTATTTTTACTAAAAAGCTTTCAGGCACTATCAGTTTTTATTTTAAAAATATTGCTGTGTAAATATGAATTCTGTATTCAAAACACCTAAATCAATTTTGGACAAGTCACTAAACTAACATTATTTTGTGCCTTCACCCAGAATGCTGGGCACTTTGTAGCCTTGCATGTTTTAATCCTCAGAGCAATCCTACAGGACAGAAGTTCTTGTTGCCATTGTTATGGGTTAGGAAACCAATGTTCAAAGAAATTAAAATAGCCTTTCCAGGGTCACATGGTTAATAAATGCCAGGGGTTTTATAGTTAAATCATTCTCCAGCATCCTTTTCCATGACAACTTTTAGAACGTACTATGTTTCTCAGGTGACTTCCGTCAGTCTTATTGACTAATACTTGTGAGTTTACATTCATTATGGGCTTTCTTACTTTCTTCTCCATCCCTAGAATAAGTTCTATGATGGATTAGCTATATTAATCTGGTTTTTGTTCTCTGTGATTGATTGTTGCATATCTATTATATCACATTTACAAATGACATAATTAATCATTCCTTCTGTAGTTTTAAAGAAGCTTTTCATTATAAAGAACTAGCATTTCAGTGAAGACACAGGAGGAATAAAAAAGCTAAAATATCTTTCCAAGAATAAGTGAAAGATGGGTGGGGTGTAGGCAGAACAGTAAACCCTGAGGGGCTTGTCCGATGCTGGACACAGTTCCAGGGTGAGGCACCATTGTTGCTCCCAACATCTCCTGCTAATGGAGCCTTGTTCCCTGATAAACAGACAGTTTTCTCTGTTATGAGTCAGAAATCCAAGTCTCTGTCACCTTTCGCACCAATGCAGAAGAGAGGATTCCTCAGTCCTCTCTAAATACTTCTCTGCCCTACTCAGAGGAGCCTGAGCGCCTCTCCGAGTGGGGAAGAGGAAAAAACGGAGTTGGAGAGTTTGCTAAGGTGTCCAGGAATAAGTGTAGCTCTGCAGCGCCCTTCCAAGTGCCCTGCACATCTCAGAGATCTTTCCTGGCTCTCCCAGCACCTCATCTGCAAAAATACTTGGGCATGGGGATAGAGTGTGTAGCACATGTAGATTTCAGTTTTATTCACAGTTCACAGGGACAGATGGGAACACGTGAAAGAAAATACAATAAAAGTATTAAATTCATCTCCAGATTGCCTAGATAAAAAGAACTTTGTTTCAAGGAAGAAAGAAAATTTGTTGCAAAAAAACAAGTCAAATTGCTCAGTTTTTCTCGTGTTCTCTGCTTGATCCTGGCACCAGCCACGTTCTCCCAAACATTCCTCCAGCCCATCATGAGGCCCCAACAACATATGTGCACATACTCTGACACTGGGTAGAGATGTTAAGCAAAAGCCAAAAATCAAATTGGGTTGCTGGGGAAAGAGATTTGGAAGTCACGATGAACGGTGATTAAAACTGAACAAATGACCTCTCCTGCCCCTGCCAGCCCTCTAGCGGTTATGTTTTCTTTAGCCAAATATACCTTCGAAACATAATAACGCACTTGAGAATGTCTTGCACATTAAGTAATATGCATTATTTAAAATAATATGCTTTGAAAAAAACAAGAGAGACATCCCACTGATTCTTGTTCACGTGTTGGGCCATATTGTCACACCAGATGCATTTCATTTTCTGCTGCACAGTTGGGAAAGATGCTGTCTCAATTTGTGTGCGTATCAAAAATATGCCAATTTTATGTGTTCTGTCTTGACGAGTTACTAAAATTATATTATGCTAGAATCAGAAAGTCAGTATTTTAGGATGAAGAGTGAGAGATGAACATATTGCATTCTTCAGTGTCTTAACAAAAAAGCTTGTAGTGTTCATGAATATTAAACTTTTACTGTTTTTCTTTTAGATTCATTTTGTTAAAATTATCTTCATAGAGAAGTAACAATGTTTTTTTTTAAAGTGGGTAAATTGCCCTGGCCAGTGTGGTTCAGTTCATTGGGCATCATCCTGCAAACCAAAAAGTCACAGGTGGGATTCCTGGTCTGGGCACACACCTGGGTTGCATGTTGGGTGTGCTGGGCAATCAATCAGCATTTCTCTCCCACATCGTTGTTTCTTGCCCTCTATTTCTCCCTCCCTTCCCCTCTCTCTAAAATAAAAAATAAAAACATTTTTTAAAAGTGGGTAAATTATTTAAGGTATGATAGAAATGTTTCAAAGCATAGTAACAGGAATATTCATTCATTGGGATGAAATTCCTGAAACACATCTGTATGCTCTGACAAAAAGTGGACAAATATTTTCTAAAATTAAGTCTATATGTGAAATGCATCTTTCTTTGTTAGTTGTCTCCCCCTTGAAAGGAAGTATTTTCAAAACCTATTTAAAAAGGTGATTTGAGTTAATTTTTGCTGTCTAGTTTTCAAGTGTTTTTAATATTGCTTCAAGGAACATAACTTCATCTTGGGGAGGCACAAATTTAAAAAGTATACCTAACAGAAATGACTAAAACCATTAAAAACTGTAATCACAAAAATGCCTAAAAGTACCATTAGTAGCTTTTTCAAAGTGCGTGTGTGCTGGGGGTGGGGTAGGACATTGGAGAGCAGGGTGTGAAGTGAAGTTTGATGTGTGATAGCGCTCTTGAAAAAAACTGGCATCTTCAGGTTGTTCTGGGAGGGAGAGGTTTGCTTTGGAGTGGAATCATTCCCTGTAACCTTTGGTTTCTATCCTGTGTATCCAGCAGATCTGAGTAGAGCTGTAAATTTTGTATAAATGGAAGTGCTGTAACACAGATATTGTATGAGATTGACTTGAAACAAAGCTCAGTACACATTAGCAGTTACTGTTGTTATTATTATCGAATGGTACATTAAAGTTTTGCCACCATCACATATGACGTGTGATGAAAAAATCAATAGGGAGCTTCGATGGTCCTTTTCATTTAACTTAAGGTGTAAATTATTTTACTTGCTGTGGTGGCAAAAGCAGCTCCAAATTAGCCAAGGCAGTACTGGTGACTCACAACTTCACGTGGTAAAAAGAAAAAGTCATATTACTTTGGCAAGTATGTGCACATCATCACAGAAAAGTGAATAAATACTCTGAGGGATAAAACAGGATTAATAGATTTATGAAGAAAATAGAGCAAACATCTACCCTTGTTTTCTTTTCCCCATTGTTTGGAATTAAGAGTTGATTTTACAGAATTAAAGGTGAATAATATATCTTTGGTACTTCAGGAAACATGCAGTGTAATTTCTTTGCTCATGATAATGATCGCAATGCCTGCCAGCTCTAGCTGACGAAGAGTGTGCAGTGTTCCTGGACAGCAGGGTGAGCACTGACAAGATCTGCAGATTCAGAAGTTAGGGTTGTGTGTTTTTGTTGTCATTGTTGATTTGTAGCTGTTTACAGTATCATAG